GACACAACACCTCCGACCATGAGCCCGGTGGTCTTGATCTCGTATTGACTGCCCGAGGTAAACGACCGTTTCCAAACGTTGAGCGCATGGTTGTCACTTCTCTTGAAGCCTGCAGCATCCACTTTCTCCCAGCCATCGCCACTGAGTGCAGCATCGACGCCAGCGTTGTACTTATCTTTCATGACCCACACGTAGAGGGTAACTGGTGCTTTGTACGAGATTGTCCAAGTGCCAGCCTTCGGCCAAGTCTTTGTACCGCTGTACATGCCGCCATCGAGTACAGAAGGGACGTTTTGGAGCTTGTATTTGCGCTGGCCTGGATTTGTCAAGATTCCTTCCTTCATCACGGAGATGGAGTTCCATCCGATCCCCAATCCAGACGAGCCAGTGACGGAACCGCAGCCCTGGCTTCAGGGGCTCACTTGGATCCATGATTCTCAGCTGCCCTACCAGCTAAAACTATGAGGAGCAAGTGCGCTACAGTCTACCATCCATCATTTTTACTGTTGCCTCCTACACTCGCCACTTGTCTCTGCATGACACGAAAGGCCACTCCTCGTTCTTCGAGTTGACGGGTTTGCAGAGTCCGCCCGCAGCCAGGCACTGGCCACTCCTTTCAGAACATGCCGCGCTTTTGCTACCTTTAGGCTAACCTTCTCTGGAACAGAATGCTGGAAGCGAGGATCATAGCCTGAACTTGCCTGGTGTCACCTGTTGGGAGGAGACTGCGGGTCTCTGCCATAACTGCCTCCGCTCTTACTATGGTAGGTAGACTACACATACACCAGTCTGTGACATCCTGCGACACCTGCATGCCAGCTTTGCTGCACCAGCTGTCTATGAAAAAAAGGACTAAAGCGATCCCAGCTTCGCCGTGACAGCGCACTGGACGAAATGTTTGCCATCGCCGCTCCTGTTTGAAACATGTCTGCTCATGGCCGTCATGTTCCAGAACATCTTGCTACGCCCACAAAATCAGCTCAGAATTGCTACCGGCACTCATCTGCACATTATAGCAGTCTGCGCAGCGTCCTCGTGTAGGAGTTTTCGCATTCCTTGCTTGCTGAAGGAAGGTTCTGCGAATGCAACAGCCCTTTGCATCCGTCCCCATGACAACATGAGTGGACGAACGTCGACAAGAAGTCTCACAGGCCGGAAGTCTGCATGAAGGGTCAGCCGCCGAAGCTCATAGATCGGCTAGCTGTTGACGTTTATGCATGCTATCCCGCTGCTCGTAGGCGCTCTGATACAGCAAAGGAGGGCCCCCAAAACTCAAGGCCAAGTGCGTCACAGAGAACATTCAAACTGTACTGAATTTACCTTGGCATGTTACTGCAGCTCGAGCTGCACCAAACCCATCGAATCGATCAAAGCGGAACAGCGAGCCACATGCAAAAACCACAACTTTGAGCTTTCAGCAATAGTTTCCGGCAGATTAGACCAACAACTCATGTCTAGTGCCATGCACCTTGCATCTCTTTTTCAGGGTGAGCTGCACAGCCAAAGAAAGACATGAAAGTTCGGCTGAATGCGAATAGCTGTCTTCGACGAATGTTGTTGGCTCCTGATCGATGACATCTTGTCAGCTTGTCCCCCTGAGTAAGACTCAAACACAAAACATAAGCACGTAACCCTTGAAATCTGCAACCCTCAACTCAATAATCGTCATAAAAACGACACAACGAAATCGCTGAATCGATTGCAGTAAGCTTTTGCAAGTGCAAAATATTCTCGGCCAGAACACGGTGCTGTCCGAGATGGCATCGCAACTCCAGGCCTTCTTCGTGCCGCCGCCTTTGCACCAGCGCGCAGCCTGCCACTGCACGAACAATAAATGATGGAAAAAGTAGAAAGATAGTATGCGATGCTGGCTGGATTCAGACACGACGTGAACCCAGGCCCCTTCATATGGGCGCTAGGTGTGCTGGGCATGAACCAGACATCACATTCCAGAAAGCTCCTGGTGCCGATACAAGCAGCTCCTGTATTGGAGAAGAAAGAGCAAAACTGAGCACTAGTCAACCCGACAGACGGTCAACGGCAAAACACGAGCACATGCCTCCGGAACGATGGCCGTTGCAGCCGGATTGTTATTCAGGTCCGGGCCTGAGTGCTCAGTGCTATTATCATGTCCGTCGCAGCTGGTCTCCCCAAGAACATCACGCGAAGAGAAACTATATTAAACGTGTTCAAACACTTACCTATTGTCCCGACCAACTGAATCTTCAGGACGCTCTCTCCAACTTCTTTGACATTGTATGCCAAGCTGAAGTCATGTCTGTTGTTCATCCATGGAATAAACTCTGCCAGCATACATGTGTCGTGGAGGTGGCACCAGCCCGTTTTCTCGTAGAAGGTCGCTGCCACGCCTTAGGAGACACTTGGGTTCGTGAGAATCCGGTGTATGCGGTTCGTCCATCGACAGTTGTATTTAGTGGAATGGAACGGAAGTGGCCACCAGCAGCGCCCTCCCACCGTCCAAGCTGTCATTCGGAAAATTACGGCACCAACCGAGCTTCATGCAGCTTCCTCGTTTGACTCAATTATCGGGGTGCGGTGAAATGCAGAAAACATAGCAAAACTTTTACGGAGGAAGTTTCAAGGTCGGAGGAAGCAGGATTCCGTGGCCGTTATGTCGTGATTGTGCTATCAGATGCCGGAGGATTTTGGGACGCAATCGGCAGCATTTCAACCAAGTCTTAACCATGTTCTTTGCAAGCCTCTTGGTCTCGCTCTTCGACACCGCTTAAGGTAGCTGAAAGTCGAGAGCCAGCCTTGCGGCAATGCAGCTGCAGCCCCGAAGGAGTGGCGACGAAAACGTAAGCCACCAAAGCCGGCCACCAAAACAACAGAAAGCAGCATCAGCTACTCCGCCATACTCAAGGAAGGGCAAGCCGCAAGTCCCGGCACGCAGACGCAGAATCACTCGACGCTCAGCAAACCCCAAGCCTACGTGTTGGGGACGAGCCTGAGGAATCCAAGGCTCTGCAACCGAACCGCCAATGCACACAGGCAGGCGGGACGCAAGAGGACAGGGATCGAGCAGCGGAGGCGACGAAGTCGTGGGGAGGTGGGAGAGCAAGGAGGCCACCGACGCAGACGAGAGACTCTAGACACAGAAGACAAAGCCAAGTCCCCAAACATATGTTCGTGCCCAAACGATTTGCGACGTTCGCAAAGAACATGCTGGTCATGACGTGGCATGATAGGCTTCCGGGTGCAGGACGGGTCGCAGTGCAGTACTGTTCGTGGCTTTTGCAGGGGTTAGGGTTTAAAGTGTACAACACTCCCTGATGGAATTGCGTCGGGCATTCCGAAGATTGAGCTTTCCTGGCATCTGTGTGGGTCCTGCTTCCGAGGAGCTCCTCCGCAGTTTGTCAACTGTGCTTGGGGAAGCTACCACAGAACAACAACGAACGCGCAAGCCTTCAGGCTCCGAGTCCATTTCGATGATGCACGAATACTATCTCTCAAGTTCTTCCAAGAAGCAGGTCTTCTGCGGGCAGTTTGTGGCCTGCTCGTTGCCGGAACATTTAAGTGCACACCTTGCAAGGCAGGCAACTCACTCGAAGCGAGAGCACTCTTCTGTGGACGGACAGCTGAGGTGGCTGCTCGGCAACTGTCAACCCGCTCCAGCCATCGCAAAGGTTGTTTTGGTCTGCATTGTCAAACCTTTGACAGTCTCACACGCCGCACAGGAACGTCCCGGTTGGGCATGCTTGCTTTGGCTATCGGATGATTTGACTGCCAGGACTTTGCTTCTTACGAATTCGATCATCGGTGGCAACTTGATGTTCTTTCGGCATGAATACTCTGATCTGGGGACCCTGGAGCTCTGAACGGGGGAGAAGATCTGGTGATTGATAGCAAACCCTGCAACATCACTGTTTGTGTTCCCAACTCGTGTTGACATTGGTCACGGTTGAGTCCACGCATGTTCCTAAAAGTGACCAGGGCAAGATGGAATGCAACATGAGTGCAGGAGAGCCACGTGTAATAGCGGCTTGAACACTTGGCACCCTCGATTGCCTTCATTGGGACCTGCGGGCTCAGTCAAATCTAGAAGTCGCACCTGTGACCAGTGCCATCAGTGTCAGTGACAACGTCTGCTCTGGGCGAACCATGTCTTTTCCCTCCAAAAAAACTGGAACTGGAACACACCTTCAGCAACAGAAACCATGAAAGGAGAGGTCGACATCTGCTCATGCTTGCTGACCGTCACCAACCAGCAACGCTGGGGTCCTCGTGGACGATGGCAGTGGCATCGTCATTGGGCTCAACTTCGGGACCTCCGGGCCATGCAGATCTGTAAGCTTCCACGCGGCAGTTCGCTTAGGCCGCAGTGTTGCTGCGCACAGACTGTTGCATGTGATGTACATTGGCTATTTCAGCCCAAGCAGCAAGAATCTACCAAATGGCACCAGCCGGTCTTCGGATAAAACACGGCAGCACGACCTCGCAAGTGTTCAAGCTCGAGGGTCAAGTAGGGCGTGAAGAAAGCCGAACTCATGGAAACATACATTTAAACTCTGCGACTCTGCGTGCTGTCTTGTGGCAAGTCTTGCGCGGGCAATTTTTAGCCTGCGCGTGGCTGCTGCACCTTGCCGTGCACCTCGAGGTTGAACACCCTCCTCTTGAAGAACAAGTCGCTCACAGAGCTACAGAGACAGAGGTTCTACGTTACACAACTTGAGTCGACGGCTGATCTTGTATAAGTCCGCTCCATCCATCGCAGCTGGAAGCAGGCTTGTACCTTGATTCGACCAATGGCCGGATCATTGGCGGCGACTTGGAGCAACTCACACCCTGTCGAGACCCGTGCGTGTAAGGCGTTGCTTTGCACCTCTGGCCCCGCACTGCTACCAGGGGAACCTGGTCAGGTTCTGCTGAATCGTGCCGGAAAGTGCGCTCGGGTGGCTGCTGAACGTCCCTCACTTCAAACCATCGCCTCGCACAGGTTCGCCTTTCGCGCGACCATTCTCCGCTGCTCAATGTGGCCCATGCAGCTTGTTTCTGGATCAGGGAAGCTGCGGCGCAAAATGAACTGACACTTCGAGGTTCCACCCACCATGGGCCAAACTGGACAGCAAATTCACACCTTGAAGCCGTGAGCCCAAGTCGCTACCCTCTCAGAGACTAGCCTCGCTTCCAGCAGTTCTTGGACCAGGCATAGCAGGTTCCCGCCGGGTTGTCGAAGTCGTAGAGGTAGTGCGCACCACAATGGTGGAACCTTTCCACTCTGCCGCTCCCGGCTTCAAGAAACAGACACTCAACCGAGACCTATTCCTGATTCCCTTCTTTCCTGTGCAAAAGCAACTCTTCCCCATGACATCCCTGAATGCTTGGGTTCCCGACATTTTGTTGGCAATGGACTTGCGCACCATGACCGTGTCCTGTGTTGCTTCTTGCCAACCCTAAAAAGCCAACACAGCACACAGAAGACAAGCTCAAAACACTCTTGAACATGCTTCCTCGTCTTCACACGCAACTGCTTCTGGGCCATAATTGGCGTTGTTCACGACAAGCTCTGAGCCTTGAACAAATGTCACACTCCTAAAAATTGAACTTGCCTGCTCTCCGAGAGCTACTTGCAGAGAAACATAGAGAAACTTCGTGTCTTCGGCTTCCCTGAATTGCCCCACGAAAACCCAGAAAGTTGACATGCAGCCGTCTCGCAGAAACACATCGCGCCCAACAAGGAATCCTATCCAAACGTGCTGAGGCATGATGTTGGAGAAATGGAGTGCCTGGATCCAGAAGAAAATGGCATGTTCCAAGTTCCTTGCGAGATACAATATGACTTCGTCACCTTCTCTGTCAGCGATGGCTGGGCAGGAAGACACTTTGCCTGAAAGAATTCTCAGGCTGGTGTGAAGGCGTTGAAAAAAGAAGTTCGGAGCAATCTAACACGGCCACTGCGAAGCTTCGTACAAAGCCAACAAGTTGAAGGCTTTTGGCTTGGCACAGCAAAAGTTCATACAAGTTCAGCGTATTAAGGCTGATGGAGATCGGGGTCACCGGAGCGCGTTTCATGTTGTTTCGATCTACCGGCAGCCTGAGTTTCCCCTAACCTCGTGGAATGTGGGATGGCATTTCCATTCCAAAAGACTGGAGCTAGATCAGGCGAAGACCTAGTCTGAAGCTGCATAGGCAAAGCCGCACGAAACACTCCTTGTTCATTCCTTGATCTGGGGATGGTGAGGGCTCGGTTGCGAGCGCTTCTCAGGACCCGAGGCCGAGGCAGAGACGGGGCAGTGAGCGGGCGATGCTTACCCACTGGCTGTGGGACAGATTCAAAACCAACTCCAAAACAAGGAATGCCGATTCAGAAAACAGAAGACAAGCTCAAGAAAACAGAATGTCATAAAACGCTATGAGCAGAATTAAGCTAAACCCTAAACCCTAAAAACCTAATCCCTAAAACCCTGAAAGCCAAAACCCTAAACCCTAAACAGAAGCTCGCTCTCCATTTTTGCTCCGCAGGAAGTCTCGTCCATTTGCACGAAGAAAGAAAGCACCGCTGGGCAAACCTTCCAGCTTCTTTGCTGCCCTTGAAAAGTCTTAAGGGCAGCTCTGTACTTCGCGAAGGAAAAGAGACCACCCATCTTCTCCCATCAGTTACCAGTGCAAATGGCAACGCTTATCTCCAGAGGTGGTACCAAGCTCTCGTGGGGATGCCTGCCCGAGTCCACGCTGCAGCCTGGCTTAAGACTGAAGGGAAACAGCTCGCTGCTTGTAACACCTTCTGTCGTGTATCTGCCGATAAAGAAGGATAAAAGGTGGCTGCAGAAATCTCTTGCAGGTAGATTTCCATAACCTTGTGACTCACCCACCTGCCTCTCCTTCTGACAAGCTCGGAGTCCTCCGATATCGAAAGCAGATGTGTCGCCCCCCCCGGCCTGAAAGAGCCGAGGTCCAGGGGCCTTTTGTCAGTTCGGGCTGTGGGCACGCCCAAACGTTCCAAGACGCTGTCCAGCCTGCGACGCAGCCTTTGCGTGGAGCCCTGCCAAAGCTTTGCTGTCGGGTGAAGGTCGCGGAAGGCTATGTCAACCAGCTGTACCAGGTCGGCTGGCTCAAGCTTTGCGGACTGGTGGCGCGCGGCCCGGAGCCTCGTTTTGGGCTCCGCGATGCGGAGTAATACATGGCTCTGGGTCCATAGCACATCTCTCGGGAGGATAAGCGCAGCCCTGCAAGCTGCGGTGGCCTCCCCGATGCGCAGCAGCGCGCCCCATGCCAAGCCGAAGACACCAGCTTCCGACCGCCACCCCCAGAGCAAGCACACCGAAAGCACTGCTAATAAAATCACCGCTGGCATAGCAACGTGGTGCGTGTGGGGCTCCAAGCTCATCCAAGAGAAGGCTAAGTCCCACGCTTGCTGCAGTTGCCTCCTTATGGCTGGCCTCCTCGCTGCCGTGGCGTTGACCGTCTCCGCGTAGTGCCAGTACGGCCTGCCAGCGTCGAAGAGCTCTCTGCCGTAGTCCGTGAGGTGCTTTGCAACGGCTTCGGCGGGGAGGCACCAGAAAGAGTTAGGCGACACGCCACGTGCTGCGAGCCAGCTCTCCAGGAAACCCAGCAACCACAACCTGTTTGTAGACGTCCTTTCCAGTACGGTCCGGCCTTCAGGAAGGCGCTGGTGTGCACGCGCCCTCTGCCGGCCCTCGTCAAGGGCGTTCCTTGGCCTAACCGGGCCTTCGCCTGGGTAGCCAAGAGTACTGTCGAAGCCTTTCTGTGGGTCCTGGTTGGTCAGACGAGGGCCTCCAGCGATTTCCCTTCGAAGCGGCTCGGCGAGCGACTGTAGCAGAACCCGACCCTCTAACCTACTGACCCTAAGGGCCAGGAGGAGGGAGAGCCGAACCCAGCCAGAGGAGCTGGCAGACAGGCCACAAAGTCCAAGGAGGGAAGGCAGGGCAGAGGGGCCCAGGTCGGAGACGATCGACCTCAGGTGGGCTGGCCGGAGATCCTTTTGCCGGGAAGGGTCGTCGGCAACGTTGAGGCGGGTAGGCGCATGCATCAGGCCGATATAGACGCCACCGGCGAGGAGGTAGGAGGCGATCCTCATCAGGATCGGCCGCAAAAGTCTAGACGACGAGCGGCCCTTCGCGATGGCACCTCTCGCGACCGCAGAGTCAGAGAGGACTGTCACCTTGCTGTCTCCACCTCGCCTTTGCACCTCCTTCACGACAGCAAGCGCAGCTTTAGCTTCCAGGAGGTTTATGTGCTGGGGCGAGCGCCAGGGCCAGGCGCAGACAGTTTTCCACCCTCTGGAGCACAACAGATCGTTGACGGCCACACTCTCGAGACCGGAGCGCCGAGGGGAGTCAGGCTCGGCGAGGGACCGCAGAGTCCACGCGAAGGCTTGCGCAATCACCTTGGCAAAGCAGGCTGGGAGAGGGCCCTTCCCTTGTGTTGAAGGAGACGGGGAGGCCCTAGAGAGCTCAGCGAGGCGCTCGGTTGAAAGGCCACAGGTGAGGAGCGCGAAAGACCGCTGAGGGACCGCAGCGCCGAGGCTAAATCTGAACTCTAGCTCGAAAACTCCGGGCTTCTCTCGCAGTTTCTTCCAAATCCTGGTGGATCTCGCGAGGGACGAGAGAGGAAGGCAGAGCGCAACCGGAACATCCCAACGCAGAGCGGTGGCGAAGAGAAGGAAGAAGGTAGACATGGCTTGGTTGTCGTGCGACGTTCGGGCCTCAGCGGGGTCAAAGCCAAAGGGGGCCCGGGGAGACCGCAACCTCGGCAAGCTTGCAGGGGAGAAAGAGGCAGAGGCGGGCACCAACAACAAAGACTTGAGCTGGCTGGAGGCAAGCAGGTGAACAATCCACTCCCTGAGGTCGGGGGAGCAGGGGTCATACTGCCTAGACCTCCTCTTGTCGATCAACGGGCCTACCTTGAAACCTCGGCCCTGCATCACCCTTGCGACGGCGCCAAGCGAGGAGCCGACCTCGAGAAAGTCAAAGCCGAAGGCCAGCGGCTTAGGGACCCCCTCCTGCAGAAGAGGGGCCTCGGCCTCACAATCGTCGCCAACCTCAGCGTCACCTGCGGCATTCCACTCAGCTGCCTGGGGCCCGGGTGCAAGGGGCGCAGAGTGGCCCTTGAAATCAGAGGCCAGCCAGAAATCAAGAGCGACCTCCGGCGACACTCCCAACTCGCAGTAAGCCCCATGCGTGTTGGAGGCATCCAACGCGAAGAGAGAGGGGCACGCTACCGCAGACAGGTCGGAGCACGCAAGAGGCGCCAGAACAGCCAGGACCTGCAACTCACCAGCGGCCCGGCGGGACAGAGGGCGAAGGTGGCCTCCAGAAGTAGCCTCGGCTGGGCCGGAGCGGCCAAGCCCAAACAGTTTATCGAGCGTAGACATGAGGCAGCGACGAAACATCAGGCAGGACACCCAGGAGCCGCACAACATATCAACCAGCTCCTCGCTGACACAAGGAAGGGAGGCAGCCCGTAGAGAGGCGGCGGCTAAGGCAAGCCTTTTTCCAACCGGTGCCCCGATGAGCGTCTTGCCCTCTCGGACGATGTCGGGGCCACTGTCAACAACCGCACCCGCAACCTTGAAAACCCGTTGGGCAAGTACGTCTTTAGCATCGGAGCCCTCGACGCCTTCCTTGGAGTAGGCCTCCTTGGCCCGAAGGACGGCAGCGAGAGAGCCAGAGGCACAGCCGGGCACGAAGTTGGCGGGCTCAATGCTCAGCGAGAAAAAATCATCGATTATCAAGCCGTCCCAAGGGCCCCTGGCATCAACTCTAGCACCGGACTGCAGCCTACCCCGGCCCTGGAGACAGCCAAACTCTTGAAGCAACCCCTCATGCGCCGACGTAGCAAACTCAACTCCTCCAGCATCGCCCTGAAGCAGGGCAAGGAAGGTGGGGTGAACGAGGCTAGAGTCGGAGGCCAGGATGGACCTTTGGGGGAAATCGAGCACCCCTTCGCACGAGGTCAAGGCCCAGGCCTCGCCACTATCGACACGGTGCCGGTAAGAAAGGTAAGCCCCTGTACCTCGAAAGTCGGCCAAAGAGAAGGCGGGCCCGCAGGTGTTCGTCCGGGATCTTTCAAAGGACACACCCGCTTGTGTGTAGAAGTCGCGGCGGTCCGTCACGGAACCGACCAGACAGCATCCCCTGGGAACGTGGAGCCGGCAGAGAAGAGGCCCTGTAGGCAGAAACCTCGAAACACCATCCAGCTTGCACTCTTTTGAGTTCTGACCCCTGCGGTCTCCGATTTGCCTCTGCACGCCCTCGGCTTTGAAAGCCCCGAAAACGCGGGTGAGGGCTCGGTCAGGGAGCGGGCCCGGCGCCAAATCAAGCAACCCCGCGGCGTCCCAGATTTTGCAAAGAGCAAGCAGCTCATCTTTGTCCTCCCTCTCAAAGGAAGCACAGGGGGCCAGTGTCCCTGGAAACCTGATCACCTCGGGCTCCAGGAAGGCCATCTTCAGAGAGGGGCCAAGGTGCGGCGTGGGGTCCCAGCGGCCGCGACCATGAAGAGCAACTTGAGATGCCAGCAGGGGACCGTAGGGCCGCAAAGCCTCAGGACCTGACCTTTGGTGTGGAACCTCGGGCCCCTTCTCGGGCAAGGGGCTGGAACCGGAGTAAAAACCAGAGGGCAGGCCGGACTCCTTGAGGAAACGGATCACCTCAGAAAGGCGCGCTGCAATGTGCAAGCCACGCCTGCCCGAACAGCAGGGGATGGACCCAGCTTGTCGGGCGCACGCTCTCACGAGCCCACCGAGCCGCGCGTAGACCTTGTGCTGGTCGCGGCTGAGGGGCCTCTGCAGGGATTTTAGGGAAACGGGCTTGCCTCCAGCATGCAAGAAGTTAAGGCCCATAGCCACGAAATGGGTGCAGCGCCGAACACTCTTGCGCAAACGGTGGGAAGCGGTCCTGCAGGAGCCGTCGGAAAAGACCCCGGGAAAGCGAGGGGTAACGGGAAAAGAGCGGAGGAGGGTGCCTGGCTGGCATCCCTCGGCAGAGCAAGCGTCGAATTCATGAAGTATGCGAACTGGGTCCGGCCCTGTTTCAAGAGCCGCGGTAGAGCAGCGACCCAGGCGCAGAAATCAAAGGTTGCATCTTCAGCAAAGGCGGAGCCCTCCAGAGGGAAAACAGCAGCCGGGACCTTAACATCGGCTGAGACATCCTCAGGAGATCCTCTCCTCGGCTGGGGCTTTGGTAGAGGGATTGGCCGCTTCGGGCGGCGAGGTGGCGCAGGCGAGGCGCGACCTCTTGCACACGCATGGTTTGCAGGGGAAAGGGCGGCAGCCGTGGAAGACGACCGGCGGGGCCCAACACGAACCCCACGGGCCTGGCTGCACAAAGGAACTTGCCTGGGAGGCGCACAAACGGCCAACCCATCATATGGCTCATCCTGCCTTCCATGCTTCACTTCTTCGCCTCTGCGGCCTTTTTCGCGGCCCAGGCTGCTGCCCGCTGTTGCTTTCGAGAAAGCTGCTGATCCGCAGACTCGGTCTTTGGCGGCACCGTTGGCAAGGCAGGTGGCTTGGCGGGAGGCTGCTGCTTCGGGGTGGCCTCCGCCCTTCTCACCGAGATGGTCTCCAGCTCCTTCACAAAAGCCAAGGCAACAGTAATCCAACGCTGCTCCGCCAGGGAGGAGGTCTGGAGGCTGGACCCGGGCAGGCTGGTAGGCTGCTGGAACAGGCCCAGAGGCGGGTCGGCTTGCAAGGTAAGCAGCCACCCCAAGGTGCTGTCCCCGTTGTCTTGGGCACACTGCTCCAACATTAGGAGCAGCAGGGATAGCACGTCGCGCGCACCGTCCAGGGAGTCGGCCTGCAGCAGGTCGAGGCTTTGGGCCACCTGCCACGCTATCATACCCAGCAGGGTTTGGCCTGCGAAAGAGCCGTGCCTCTCCAAATACCTCATGTAGCTCACCTGGCCTTGGGGGAGCAGCTTCGTCGGGTCCATGCGGCGCTCCATGTTTTCTCGAATCTTGGAGGCGAAGGTTCCCGTCCTTTGCCCGAGCTCGGCCTGCAACTTTGCTCTCCCGACCGATCCTCTCACAGACGAGGCCTGGGCCGAGGAGATCTCCAGGAGGGGGTCCGAGGAGCCCGCGGACAGCTGAGACACTAGTGCACACAAAGCCTGGCTTTGGGCCAGGACGGCTGAGGTCAAGACTGAACCCTCGGGCCCGCCGGCGGGCAACTCTCCTGAGCCAATGCACCTTGCCGCTTCCTCGTCCTTGTCGAGCTGATTCACAGCAGCCTGCGGCTGAAGGCGCACGGGAGGCGGCGGGCCCAGTACTGCCGCGAGGTTCTTTGGCACTGTCTGGGCCGGTGGGAGAACGGAAGCCAGGGGCATCTGAAGGGCAGCCTGCACAGGCACGGTTGCGGCCGGGAGCGGGGCCGCCGCGGGGGCCTCGAGCACATGATCGCCTGCCTTGGGTGCCAGGGAGTCCAGGCGGGAAACAACTGTTGTGATTAGCTCCATCGTCTGAGCCTGCTGGGCAGCCAGCTGCTGCACGGTGGGGCGTTTCGCCTTGGCTCGCTCCTTGGGGCCGGCCGGTGCAGGACCTTCTGGTGCCGACTGGGCTGTCTGGTAACCTGACCTGTCCTGGGGCAAACCTTCGGTGGTTGCCAGCCAGTCCTTCGCCTGGCGAAGCACCTCGGCTTGCCAGAGGGAAAGTGCGCGGGTCCTCGTCCTTGAAAGCGTAGAGGCCTTGCACGGCAAAATCGGCTGGGGAAACCTGAGCCGACATATGGGCTGCCAAGTCCACCACCACCGCATGCACCAGCTCCTGCTCCGGGGGTGAAATCCATTCCCCGTCGTTGATCAAACGGACGGCCGGGGCACTCACCGCAAAAGAGGGCCCGATCCCCTCTGCTTCCTCCGCCTGCTGGCCTTGATCCAGCTCCTCCGCTGCTAGGAAACCCTCCGGTACACAAAGCAAGAAGCCAGAGGGACGCTTCATAATACAGTAAGCGAGGCATTGGTAAGGAGCCTGCTCCGGGGTGGCCACAGGCCACGAAAACTCAATTATCTCTACGGCACCCGACTCGACAGCAGCGATGGCCTGAAAGTCCATATCACCTGGTCAAGGACACGGGGTAAGTGAGCCCCGAGGCAGCGAAGAACACACGGCACTCGGAGGTCGAAGGAAAGCCGTGGGAAATCGAGGACCCAAAGTCGGTGCCAACAATCCGCCTGAAGGCGCCGAGCGAGGCAACGACAACGGGGCGTTCGAGACCAGAGGCTCGCAAGATGCAGTAAAACCTCGACGGCAGGCCAAGAGCCGGGGAAGGAACCGGGCGGTTTGCCTCGGCCCTCAAAACAGCGCCAGCCCAGCAGCCGGCCAACCAAGCGCGCTCCGCTCGCTCTCGGGCGGTCAGATCAGACCCGGTAAGGGTTCGGCAGAGGCCCACGCAGCTATCAGGGATGGAAGGGAAAGCCAAAGCCAAGCGCTGGCGCGAGGAGAAATCCAAGGTGGGACCTCCCCGAGGCAAGGGGTACTCTGGCACAACCGAAGTCGAGGAGGAGGGCAGAAGAGGAACCTGAGAGACCTGAGGCAAGGGACCTGGTGCGGAACCTAGGGCTCCACCGGAGGAGCTGTGGCCCGAGGCCTGCAAGGGGTTAGGGCTCGCCGGCAGGTCCAAAGACGACCGCTCGGCGGGAAGCACACGGGTTGGGGCTTGCTCGGGGGTGGACCTGGGAGGCAGAGACACAAGGGAAAAGGAGGACTGAGATCCGGAAGGGGATCTAGGCTCTGAGCGGCTTAAGGTGGCTCGCTGACCCAACCTAAGACCCCGAAGCCTAAGAGAAAGACCCTCAATCTGCAAAGAGAGGTCCCACTCGCCTTCCTCATCACTCATGCAAGTATTCCGCCAAACGACTCCTGCGGCGGGGCTGCTCCGGTTCAGGGGCCTGAGCGGTCGGCCTTGGAAAGGCGGGAATTCCTCCAGCCAGGGCCCAATATGTAAAAACTGCACCAGAAATACAGCCCAGAATGTATCCTGACAGGAGGAAAGCCACGAAAGATCCAGCCGAGGGGCTTGTGCAGTAAAAAGGGCACGCCAGGCCCCAAAGATTACTCACAAGACCCTGGTGTCCCAGACGAAGGAGTTCCAGGGTACCAGCTAGGGCCATAGGAACCCTCTACTCTTGAGTGCTTGAGCGGCGGGCATCACTTCAAACTCGCTTCTACTTTCCATCCCGTCTTTCCGTGCCAATGATCTACTTCCCCCGGCTGGTATTCCGAACGAGTTCGCCGCTTTTCGAAATGTTTTCCTTGCAGGCTGTCGTGTCGTGGTTTCTTGTGGATCCCAACATGCATCGATCGAAGCTGGACTCGGGCGGTGTCGGTTGGAGACGTTCTGTCTGATCCAGAACGTGCCAATGTGCTCCGCCGAAGATGGAGACCGTTGCATGGCGGCACGCGTTGCTACCAAATGCCGCGACTTTGGGCCAGGGTCTCTACATTCAGCCGACATCATCACGCAAGGCTTTGGCTGGGACCCTGGTACATGATGTCCATTCCACAAATGCACTTCGCTGGAGTGGCCACTGGGGCGGCCAGCGTCTTCGAGACCGAAAGCACCGAGTAGGAAACAAAAATGACGCGAGTCAAAAAACGAAACTGGACGAGTCACGAAACAAAGCAAAAACAAGATCCTTTCAACCTCAATCCAACCTCTCAAAAACTCCTAACCTCCAGGGGCTATAACTTACTGTAGTATGTGCATGGTATGCGACATCATCATTCTCTGGCGCTAGATAGCGAAATGCCTGGAAACCTGACGGACCTGGGCTTGCAGAGTCCTCACTAATGTTACATCGTTTATCGTCGATGAGGTCGCCATCATGACCATGTCAGCATCATCGTCCTGACCCATCACAGCCGCAACATGAGTGACTGTTGTATGGGTGAACAAAGCCAAAACATCAAGAGGAAAGGGTCTTCAAACACTGAAAGGACTGCAGAACTAAAACTCCCAAAAAGGGTGCATGATTAGAAAATCCCTAGGCCCTAGACCTTAAGAGGAGTGACTGGTTCCTGATAAACCCAGAACCCCACTGGCTAACTGCTGGCTATAAACGAGGCAAACCCACAACCATAGTGTGAGTGGATGGGTTCGGAGAACCCTAACCCGCAAAGGGTTCACTTGTTAACAAGCCCCAAACATACCGGAACCGCCTTAAAAGAAGGCAAACTGACAAACTGTGTTCAAGCGCCATCGCCTGAATTCCGGGGGAACTAATAAAGAAATATGTGGGCATCCACCAGAGGAACATCCCATGCCGTCCTGCTGTCTAGCACTACACGATTGATCCTTTTTAATCGAGCTCGAAAACGACGACTTGCCTCCCTATTCTACTACCTTAAGCTGAGATCGCAGCGCAACCGTGGGCGAAGAGAATGCGAACAGAACAGGACAATCCCGAAAAGCAAGGACGGACCCGGGTGCCTGCCCGCCTTGCTTCTTACAAGACCGCTGTTTGTTCCAACAAGCCCTAAGAGTTCCTTCCAGCGGCTGCTCTCTTCCCCTGGCCTTGCAGAGCTTGTTCCTCCGCTCTGCGACCGAGGCAGCCTCCTTGTGGCTCTTGCAAGCCCCGCCTGGGTTTCGTGGTGCAGGAAGCAGCTTTAGCTTTAGTGCCATGCCGGGCAGTCCACTCTCTGCACACAAGCAAGTCACACCGGATTTCATTCCCTCCTCAATGATGGATCAGACATGAGGACTCCACTTCTCCAAGCTCTACAAGCTCCCAACGAACCCTTACGTTGACGTCGCACTTCACTCTTCGAATCCACCCGAGCTGTAGCACCGTGCACATTTTGCAGTGTTGTTGGTGGACCACACTCTTCGGCTCCCACCACCATGCTTATACAATATACACCTCCCGAAAACGCACCCCCACATCCCCCTTCACAGTGCCTTGCGTATTTTGCGGTTCGATTCGTGTTCACAGCCCCGTGCATTTCCGCCTACCAAACTCGTGCTCCTGCCACAGTGCCATGTGTTCTTTGACTCATCGGGTGGCGTTGGGAACCTCGCAGCGCAGCTGCTCCTGGACCTGTCTTCGATAAGTGACGTTTGGATTGCTAGGTGCTCTTTCGCTGCCTTGGTCTACGTTGGCACAGTTATTGAAACACCTTGAAGCACCGATGAGCTGCATGTGCACCACAAATTTCTGCAGGGCAAAGGGCAACATTTTCTTATCTTGTCTCCGATTCCATCTCTGCTGCAGTGGGAATGGGGCGACTGCACAGCCGCCTCTTAAAAGCCAACGACATGGCTCCTTCAACCTGCGAGGAGATTCTACATGACTGCATGACCCTTCAAAGTGCAAGTTGAAAAAACCCTTCAACCAGCAATGGTGTCCACACATCCCCACACAAATCTTCATCAAACGTAATCGAACCCTGCTGATGCAATGTGCAACGGCATCGACGGCTTCCAACGCAGCTTGTCGAAGTGCTCAATACATGACTCTGTGGTGATTCGTTTGCAAATCTGACAGTCTTGAAATCGGCCACTTATGACTCATGAGGGCGCACACAAGCACAAAAACACGCGGATCTCAAAATACAGGGTCCCCAAAGGCAAGATCCTCATGTTTAATTCCCCTCGGGTCACAAGTGAAAGCTGGGCATCCCACTTCGCTTGAAGCACTTACCCTTCGCAGTCCATGACCAACAAATAGAGCTGCTGGCCCGAAAGTCGTAGAGATGCCATGCACCACAGTGCTTGAACCTGGACCGACTGAGGACACAAGGAAGGCAGAAATTTGTGTTTAGACGTTCCTGAGAACCATTTCAAATTTCAAGCGCATGAACGTCACGCCCTCAACTCTGTGTTCCGGGGGTCCAGCATGTTGTTCGCCAAAGCCTTGCGCACATGCGGGGTGTCGGCATCGAAACACGCCTTCGTGTCCGGTCCTTTCCCATGGTCAACAGAACACGTGGTGACTGCAGAAACCGTCAGCTGCATCATCGTGGGTGAACGAGGATTCACAAGCCCCGTCCTCTGTTGACCTTGTTGTTAATCAATTTTCCACCTTGTGCTACCCGAGTTCAGACTGCTTCACAAAGCTACTTGAGGTCGTGTAAAAAGACCGGGCACATTCCTAGACCCACCGGTCCGAGATGCAAAGCGCAAGTGTGACTTCTTTGGTCAGCTCGGACTGGACAGGCGTGCAAGTCACCTCCAGTCAGGTGGTGTCTGCCCTTTTACCGGTACATGTCCGGCTCACCACATTCTTCACTCTTGCAAAATGTCCTGCACCAGTGCCTGGCTGCTCTCGTTTGCCCGACTTCGGATCTTTGCTGCACCAGCTCCCAGAACGGTCACTGCTAAAACAAGCACCTGGAAGCATTGCGGCGGCTCCAAGTTCACTTCAGCGAGCTTATCCACGCTGCATGCCACACATTCCAGCACATGGGCCTTCATTTGCTTCATTGCGGTGGAAGAAACTGCCTGGAATCTGCCAAACTCTTGCCCCGCAATAACAAGTAGGGTGGAGCTTCCACGCGAAGCTGATGTGGATCAGCTTTCTGCAAAACAGTTGGGGCAGACATCCTCCTCACACCACTTCCAATTCCTATCCAAACCTCAAGACCTCTGCCGCGATTATGTCAAGCAGCCGCCGGCGGAGGAGACCGTACATGGATCTGCCGCAGCACTTCGACTGACTTCGACCCGTGAGCCTAAACATGCCCGGTCTTTCAGTAAACCTGCAATCTCAAGAGGCCAGCTCAAACAGATTTTTGGTGCACAAAGCCAAGCAAGCATCCTTTTTGGTAAATCGTCCTGCGCAAGTTGAACTTATTTGCGGTAGCACGCGGCAGCCAATGTGGCACCGTCCCAGTTATGGGCGGAACTTCAGCTGCGAACTTCCTCAGCATTCTCCTTACGACCTTCTGCGCCCCATCATGTTTGCTTGTGCACGTGCCCTCCTTGAGCCTCCTTGATTGGGTCTGGTAGGGGACGGCCAGCCACCAGCGGTCGAGTCCGCAGTCGTGTCAGTAGTGTTGTGGGAGGATGTAACTTCTCGACCTTCTGCAAGTTCAGCTTGCTGATCGTCGTCAGATTCGCCAACCGACCATCTCTAGTAGGGCAGCCTAGTCAGACCGACCAACAGATGGGACATGGGCAAGGCATCTGTGCCAGGGCCCCCGCGCGGCCAGCCTCTGAAGGTATCGACGAAACGGTTGAGCCCTGATCTCCTGAACCCGCGCACTACGGAGTCCAGGACCGTTTGCTTGGGATCGTAGACTCAGCCGGGCACGTTGCACTTTCTGCCGTCGGGGTGACGTCTGGCGGCAAGCACCTCGAAGAGCTTCGTTTCAGAAGCCCAAAAACAACAACATTTGCTCTCATAAGCTCTCGCCAAAGCTTGGAGCTCGACCCTCCAAAGCTTTCGGCCATCCTGAAGTTGACCGAATCTGCAGGTCACGACTTCACCCAATGTACTAACTTATAAGAGGCCTGCAACGCTTCCAGGAAAGGCTGTCTGCGAAGTCGCCCGTAAACGCGCAACATAACCTTCCTGGTCTGTTGCATTGCCTCCTGGCATCTGTCAATTCTCGGCGGACAGTTTCCAAATCCGCTCATGAGAGAGAACACTTTGAAAGTGAATGTCTCTCCTCGCATTTCTTCCCGGACCAGCGGGACCAACACGAGCTCCGAAGGCGAAGTGCAGCGCTTTGCAGCGGACGCCCCCTCTCAAAAGAGAACATCGGGGAAAAAGGAAAAGACACGAAGCCGAAGCCTCTTTTTGGGACTTCGCACCTCTTCCTGGGCCCTGCAAGAGCCGCACTGCGCCGAGCGGCAGCCCGAAGAACGGAGGCCATCAAGCAGCCCCAACCCGTGTGCGGAGGCCTGGGGAATAAGAGGAAAGGGGCGAAGGGCTTCCAAAAGCAGCACAGTGGAACCTGCAGAATGCGTGCACACTGCGTGCAGTGGCCAGCCTCTGCCAATCCCAAGCTGTCAGCAGGAACCGAACCTCGCTCCTCCAAACTCGCTGGAGCCTGGAGACGAAGTGGTCCCAGGGTGCCCAAACCAGCCTTCAAAAGCACACTTTCAAGCACTTCAAGCACTTCATCCAAGTATGCTTTAAGAGCGATATGCTGGGGAGAGCTAATTGAGCAGTCGGCCTGTAGATTTTTAAAGCCACCGCCAGAGTCCCACACATCTCTGTGTCCCAGATACCCTCGTCGTGTCGAACGAGCGGGTCGGCACTGTCGAACATGCTCGTCATGAACAGACCTGACACAGGCTCTCTCAGCCTGCGTGGTACCGCTTGGACTATTTAAGAGGTCGTCTCCATGTCTCGTGGCTGTGTACAGGGCTGAAGCTTCCAGCCTTGAAGGTTCCAGAAGGCTTCGTATGGAACTGAGCCGCTGAAACAGTCAAAGGCGGCTTTCTCCTCTGGCACGTGTCCTGCATTCGATCAAGAAGCAAACAGCATCCGAAGGCTTGGTGTCTCTCTCACTTCACTGTGAGCAGCTGGGCCTGGACCATCCAGGTCCAAAGCTGGCTGGTCAGTGGACGGAGGCTCTGCGAGCTTGCATTCCTCATATCCCTGTATACCTTAGCTGCCTAAGCCTGAGCTTGTAACACTAACCTGCACGAACACCTGCAGTGGGATTTCCTCCGGGACAACAAAACTGATCACAGTATCGACTCGGGGCTGGTTGTGGTCAGCAAGCACTCCGCTTCCTCGAAAGCACCGGTCATCTCAGACGAACTGAAACGTTGGAAGACACCCGCACAATGCCCGCGTATCCAGATGCGCTCGGCATCCAGGCACCTTGTGCTCAACTGATCAAGCCACACACACCAAAAAGCTCCTGAAAGCCTTTGCGTGAGATGCAATGTCCGTAAGCTTCTCAGGCCCTCACCCGAAGGTGAGCAACGGCGCACAGAGATGGTTCGGACTCCGTGGCCGCAGGTGGCAGCGCGCGGACGGCCATCGCTTTGATGGGCCACGTCGTGACCGGAAGGCAAGTAGGGTTTGGCTGAGATAAGCTCTGAGGCCAATGCCTCGCAGGGTGCGGGGCAAGGTGGCCACAGCGATACAGCGAGCAAAGAGCAGAACGGTGCCTGCGAAAAGCCGCAAGTGATCCTCCAGCTCCTCATCCCGCCTGAACCCCAAGGCCTCGATCTCTTCCACAGGCGGCCTCGTGAACTTCGCAGTCAGACCTTCTTTTTAACCAGGCCCGAATCGCCGTGCCTTCTCACTGGATCCCAGCTCAGAATAATTCCTCGGCTTCGGGAGAAGCTATGGCGAACGTTGTTGCATGATTGTCGTGCTTCTTCCTGCCGGGGCACCCTGGCCGGCCAGTCTGCGCAAGTTCTGCAGGAAAATGGACTGAGACTCCGCCGGGATCTGTCCGCCCACATCCAGAGAGATGACCCAGTCCATGGTCTCTTCTCCCTCCGCAACCTCAGAAACATGACAGCCGCTGCAAAGGTCGCTTTCTCTCTTCGAGAGTGCCCAGGCAAGCAGCCGGAACCAGAGCTCCAGGGCCGTGCTTAAAGGGGTTCTGAACTTGGGCCTCCACGAGAGCCGGAAGAGCAGCAAAGCATCACGCCGGCAACGCTTCTGATGACTTCCCGCGCTGCCTGATCGGGCTCTGGGACCGAGGGGTACTTCTCGTAGAGCCAGACCTGACGACGCAAGAAGAAGCGGTTACGAGTCGCGATATTGAAGCAAACAGCACGATATGGAGGCCCCAACGGAAGCCAGCCTGCTCGCTGACTTTCCAAGTCTCTCTGGCTGGAAGCTTCCACTTCAGCAGGCCCTTCGTGTCGAAGCCAACGCAAGCGAGTTGACCACAGCAGCGTCCAGCGACATAGTTGATCCAGTATACCCAGGCTGCAGGGCAAGTAACACTTGGTTCAACCTACACCGTCTACGTCTTCTAACTTTGAGTAACTATCAGAATCTTGCCTAGAGGATTGGCTTGGGACTCTGTTCTGGGATCCATGTCCGCGACGTTGCCAAGAGATTGCCCGGCATCCTCAAACTCGAAGCCCGTGGCCTGACAAGTGGCGTGCCCGCTTGGTTTGCAACGTAGCTCAGAAGGGTGAACCCCTGTCACTGAATGGTACGTGCTGCATTTCTGAGCGGGCGGCATGTCTGTAAACGTGCGGGCGAAAATTCTTAGTTCGGTGTCCATCATGAGTGAAGCATGACTTTGCGGATTTGACCGTCTTCGAATCTGCAGCCAAGCGACACAGCGGGGATGGGCTGTCCGGATAGTGAAGCTCAAGTTACTTTCGGTCAGGTCGGCGACCTCATTGCCATGAGATGATTGACACCGGCAGTTGCTTGACTTCGAAGCTCCGAACCGTTTGCTCTGACCATTCTCAACCAGCTGCCATGCCATACTCGTTCAGCGTGGCCGTCAACAGTGGGTTTGCGTCCAATCCGACGGCAAGATGGCCCCAAGCTCGAAGCTCCCCCACCTTGCCAATATTCTTGACAAGCCGAAACAGATAAAGGTCATGTCTGCACTCAATGCACGATCCGGCCAGCGAGCCACGGCCACAGCCAAGATCCACAATCTGCAGGGCAGGCAACATCACACCACTTTCGACAGTGAGACTTCGCAGGACGCTTTGATGCCACATCCTGAACTTCGGGTACATTGTGGCTTGAGTCGAAAACCTCCCACGGCAGAGCCCTCTAACCCCCATGACTCAGGGCACCTTTGGAGGTCTTCCAAGCCGGTGCTGCTCGGTGTGAAAGACATCGACCAGCTTGGCCGAAAGTCCCTGAAAGGATGCAAAATGGATAAGAACATAGCTTAGGTGACCGCCGGTTCATACGATCATCAGACTTTTCAGAAGCATGGGATGCACCGCCATTGCGTTTTGCAATGTGCTGGTGACTGTTGGTGTCAGCCGCGTTGCGCTCAACTGATGCATGATTTATCAAAGACAGAACGATGCACGGGCAAACACGCAACCCCAAACAAAAGAACTCTGGGTCCGGGGGTTGTTCGATATTATTTTTTCATGCTTGCAGCTTGTATGATCATGAATTTCAGTATCTTGAATACCAAAACATGACCCACCGGGCATCGCAAGCGCTTTGGCCTCGGGCTGCTTCTCCCGTGGCATGCAGCAGCACTCCCTCATGACCGCAAAGCACGTTCACATGCATGCACATGCAGAACATACCATGTTTTCACCTACTACCTACCTATCTATCCATCTAACGTACCGGCAGCCTCCGGTGTGTTCCTGTGAGGACCCAAAGATGTGAATGGTCCGATCAGGAATAGCCATGGGCCATGCCAATCTCCAGGCAGAGCTTCATCAAGGATGCCATCAAAGATACGTCAGAGTGTCATAGGCACTGGAGGGCTTGGGCCGAACAGCACTTGGCCTCGGCCCAGGGGAATCTCCAACAGCACTTGGCCTCGGCCCAGGGGAATCTCCAGCGGCAGCGGAAGGGCGCGCGGAAGAGCTGGGCTCTTGCATGCTGCTCAACGGCAGGCTTGTCTTCCATTGGCACTGGCGGCCCCTTTTACAAAAAATGTAAATGTGGTTCTCCCTGAATTTGTCGCGCATGTAGCCGATCTCGTAATTGCACTTCGGGCAACTCTGATAAGGCAGCCGCTCGAATGAAGGGATTGCAAGCTGCTCTTCGCTCGCTGAGCCGAAGCCTGCGAGCCGCTGCATCTTGGCTGGCGACTGTTGGAAGTGCTTGGCTTCAAACAGATCATCAGCCATCTCCTGGGCTGCATCTTTGATGCCCTTGATATCTTTTGGCCAAGGAGTTGGCCAAAATGGAGACCC